GGTCACAAAATGTTTGGCTGGTGGGGGATACGAGCTGGCAGACGTAGAGGGAAAACCGTTGCCGCGAGCTTGGAACATAATACACCTGAAGCGCTTCTTCGCGTAAAAAAAAAAAAAAAAAAAAAAAAAAAGAGAGAGAAAGACAGAAGCAGTTAGCTCGCATAAATCAAGAAATGACATACCTTGTACAGGCAAAAAACCATCAATAAACATCCATTTTCCGATCTGGGCCAGGCCCCGTGGTTTTTTCTCTCCTCATTTGGAGGGTTTCCACGTTAAAAAATCCTTGTGTTATTTATTTAAGTTTTACTGTGGCGTTAAATCGCGTGTTTTACTGTGGCGTTAACTCGCGTGTTTCATTGTGGCGTTAACTCGCGTGTTTCATTGTGGCGTTAAATCGCGTGTTTTACTGTGGCGTTAACTCGCGTGTTTCATTGTAGCGTTAACTCGCGCGTTTCATTGTGGCGTTAACTCGCGTGTTTCATTGTGGCGTTAAATCGCGTGTTTTACTGTGGCGTTAACTCGCGTGTTTCATTGTGGCGTTAACTCGCGTGTTTCATTGTGGCGTTAACTCGCGTGTTTCATTGTGGCGTTAAATCGCGTGTTTCATTGTGGCGTTAACTCGCGCGTTTCATTGTGGCGTTAACTCGCGTGTTTCATTGTGGCGTTAACTCGCGTGTTTCATTGTGGCGTTAAATCGCGTGTTTTACTGTGGCGTTAAATCGCGTGTTTCATTGTGGCGTTAACTCGCGTGTTTCATTGTGGCGTTAACTCGCGTGTTTCATTGTGGCGTTAAATCGCGTGTTTTACTGTGGCGTTAAATCGCGTGTTTCATTGTGGCGTTAACTCGCGTGTTTCGTTGTGGCGTTAAATCGCGTGTTTCATTGTGGCGTTAACTCGCGTGTTTTATTGTGGCGTTAAGTCGCGTGTTTTATTGTGGCGTTAAATCGCGTGTTTCATGGTAGCGTTAAATCGCGTGTTTCATTGTGGTGTTAACTCGCGTGTTTCATTGTGGCGTTAACTCGCGTGTTTTACCGAGGAGAGTTAAAACTAGAATGAAAGCAAAATATTGCACTAAAATCAAAGAGGCTTGCCAAAATCAGGGTAAGTCCCGGGTTGATGAAATCATGGGATAAACATCGATACGAATCTAAGAAATCATCGGTTCAATTCGAATGCAAGAAAAAGTTGCTAAGTCTAAAGAATTACTCTTGAATGCACAAAAATCAGAATATCATAAACTCAAGGTAAGTACGAAAAGCAATACTTAAACAAACGAACTCCCGATATATCGATATAAGGGAAGCGGAGAAAAATTGTTCAAACACATACAAAAGAGAAAAAAAAAAGAATACAAGTACATAGTACATTAATGGGAAACAGCTAAAATCGGCTAAGTATTTTTTGGCGACTCCACCCCGGCTTCGCCTTGATCTCCGACAGATGGGAGAGGAGAGGAGGTAAGGTCCGACGGTGCCTTGTTGAGATTCGCCATTGCATCGATAGTCTCAACATCCCCAACCAAATCGGTGATGATCACCGAAGAGCTTCCTTGGCGAGAGAAGTCTACAACAAGCTCCCGATGCACCTCCCTCCACCACTCTAAGTCAGGGTCTTCATTCACGTCGCCTTCGAAACCCGGGATCACGTCATCCGGCAAGTCCTCGGCAAGATCGTTCTCGACCAACGGGAACTCGATGCCAGCACCGTTTAATCGCTTCCGAACAGCCTTCACCGCTTCCGAGAAAAAGAAGCGAGCTAGGCCGGACGCTTGTCGGGTAAATGTTGTCGAACGCCAGAGCCGGTCGAAAAAACGACCGACGAACGCCTCCATGAAGCGCAGACCCTCGGAGGAACCCGGGAACAGCCTGTGGCCCTCCTTCACTCCCTCGGTGAAGTTAGAAGATGCCTGCTTCCCAGCCGCAAATAGCTCGTTAGAAAGCCCTTTAGTTTTTTCCTCTAAGCTCGCATTGTGAGATACTAAAGAGTCTTTCTCTGCTTGTAGAATCTTCTCCCTCTCTTGCAGCCTCCTCACCTCGGCAAACAATCCCTCCTTCGCCGACTCGGACACCGCCAGACTCTCCTTCAGACCTCGGACCTCTTTTCGGAGCTGGCCGACCTCCTTCTTTTGATTATCGTATGCCTCACGAGAGACGTCATCCCACCCCAAAGGGCCCGAGAAGGCGATCGCAAATTGCTACACATACAGGGGACTTAAGTAAAACCAATTGTGGCTAAGAAACGTAAAAGCTAATTCATGTGTGCGAGGTAAAACAAACCTGCGTTATGTTATGAAGAAGCAACTCGAGCCGATCACCCTTGCTCATTTGCCCGAAGTGAGCAACGTCTCGGGGAAACGCCATAGCTCGGCAAGCGGCAATGGCGTTCTCTGCGTTCTGGCAGAGATGAAGTGCAAAGTTAGGAGGCAAAGATGACCCAGCTTGCCCCGAAGCTGACCCGGTCTGCCCAGGAGTCGACCCGATCAACCCAAGGGCTAGATCAGTCCTTCTCTTTTTCGTGGTAGGCTCTTTTTCCACCTGTTCTTCGGCCGAGGAAGGTGGCGGGGAAGGGACTGCAACTATGGCCGAAGATCGACGAGGAAGCTCGGGATCCTCAACACGTAGGCCACCTCGGGGACGCGAAGCCCCAACACTCTTTTTAGAAGGCCTTTGCCTTAAAGCCCCTTCTTCGAGGGATTGCTTCTCGGATTCAGCGGCCACAGGGCGCTGAAATTCGGACGCCTGAAACTCCGGCTCCGATTCGGATGGGCGAGTCGCCGGCTTGTCACCTCGGAACATCCTCTTCATCCTTAAGTCTGTTCGTTGGATTAAGGAAAATATGGTGAGCAAGCGGACAATATATCGACAAGCATAAGGTACAGTCAAATAAAGAGCGACAGCCCGAAATGAGTGACGAGCTGATACAGAAAATTAATATCATGTTTAAACCCACCTAAATCCTCTTGAGTTAGGGGATGAGTGCCGTTGTCATGAAATAAGAAATGGCGAAGTATCGGTGGAAAGCTTGTAAGAGTCTCGGGCATACCATAACTTGGTTGAAAATGAACAATCATTTTCAAAAGCCACTCGTCAATCGCCAAGGGTTTTCCCCTCCGTTTATCGGGTAAGGTTGCGAACCAAGGACATAGGTAAGGGGTATCAGTGGGGTTTTTCGCAAAAAAGTAGTGACCCTGCCACCCATCAGTCTTATTGGGCGGCATCAATATTTTGAAACCCGGGCGAGCCGAGATAGAGACGTGGAAGGGACTGGAATTTTTTAAGACCATCACACTCCGAAATCGAGCTGGAGTAGGGGTCACGCCCGACCAGGCGCAAAGCATGCGGAACCCAGTCATGACGACTATAGCATGGGGATGAAACTGGTTGAGAGATACGTTGCACAATTGTGCAATCTCGGAAAACCAGGACGAGATGGGAAAAGAAAGACCAAAATAGAACTGTTCCGAGAACCAGGTGCTGAAACCTGGGGGTGGGTTTAAGGGACGCTGATCTCGAGAGGGTAACACTAGTTCGATGTCAGTAGGAAGACCTATATCACGAACTAAATTGTCTAAGTCTACCTCGCTTAAAGTATTGGGCCCCCACTGGTCGTCTAAATCACGCCCCCCAGACAATGAAGGGGAGCCACTCCTCGCAGAAGACAGAGCGTCGTCTCTCCCCTTTTTCTTAGATTTTTTCAGTAATTTACCCGAAGGGGAAAAGAAGGGCCCTTCCTCCGAAGAAGAAGAGAGAGTGAGGGTAGGGTATTCATCCCCCTCTCTGGAAGGCACTCTCTGACCAAAAGGGTCGGGGGAATTGGAAGACATAGGTTAAGGACAATAAAAAGCAGGGTAAAAATGGAGTACCTTTGCCGAAGAAGAAAACGAGCACGGGATGGAAAGAACTTGGTTCTCGGAAAAGCAAAGTCGACGGAGGTAAACAAAGACAAGGAGAGCACAGAAGTGAAGAAGAGGAAAAAATTTTGAAAATTCGTAGAAGTCAGATATTTATAGGAGAAAGAAAGAAGAAGAATTCGATCGTGACCGTCTATTCGAACGGGCGAGATTCAAAGTAGATCGCCTCGAATCCGGCGCAAGAGGTGTCGATTGGAATCCCTCAGTAATGACCTAGGGAAGAGGGAAAATCAATCATAACCGTCTATTCGGGCGGGCGGGATTTAATATAGGGCGTCTTGAATCCGGCGCATAAAGCACTGATTTGAAAGCTCCCCATGATGACTTAGGGGACTCGAATCGACCACGCAGAATGTCAGAGTCATTAAAGGGAAGGAAAAAGTGAAAAGATCGCGTACATCGGACCGATACGAACTAAGGTCCAAACCTACACCTCGTACTCCGTACTTATAAAACGAGGTAAGGAAAAACCGACTCGTCTTATAAATAAGGAGTAGGGGGGAGTAGTTGATACGGGTCATTATGACGAGATGAGCACAATGCAAGCTCAGGAAAGATAAGTTATTATAAGGCCCGATGCCAGATGGCGACTTTCGGATAACGAGCTGGCAGAGCCATAACTCGGACCCCGACATAACCATGGCCCAAAACAGGCCCATTAAGAGAAGGCCCAAATACTTGACTTGAGGGGGGAGAAAACCCTAAAAAGGAAACCTTGGGAACCAAGGTTTCCTCATCTATAAATAGAAGGATCTTCAAACACACGCACACACAAGAATATACGTTAATTACTATTACATTGCATACACATTTTTCCCTCTATTCCGATCACTGACTTGATCGTCGGAGCTTTCCCGCCGGAAACTCCTCCCGGCGTTGCAGGCGTTCTCACCGGAGTACTGACCAAGTTGCCTTAAGGAAGAAGGAAGCCCCACGGACTAAATCATAGTCTAATCTAATTTTATATTTTTGATTTTGTTTTAATGTTTTATAATAGTGACAATTCAACAAACCAAGAAGAAAGAAGTGATGAGATTGAAATATAGATGTCTTTTATTTTATCTAAAAAGAAGAAAAAGAATTTGTCGCCACCAATATCGGCAAAACCACTCTTAGAGTCCTTCGGTCTCCCATCACACTAATAATAATAATAATAATATATCTTCTTCACCTTATCCTATACGTACACGGCCTCTGTATGTATATATCTCTGCCTTACCCTTTTATATAGGACTACTGCACTTATCATACCTCTGTTAAAAAACAAATTCAATTATCAAAACCCTCAAAACCAGCATCGATTATCCACTTTTGAAAATCAATCAACAGCATCGAAGTGATTGTTGAATGGACTGTTGCCTTTCGTACGCCAAATCCAGCTTCACAACTCTCCCCGCCGCGGCCGTCTTCCGCCGTCCGATCACTTTTTGTGCGCGGCGGAGGCCGTCGTCTGTGGTGGCTAGTTCCAGGAGTGCCAGCAGGTGCGAGTTCAGCGGCTTGAGCGCGCCGCTGGTGCCGACGACGCCGGCTGGGAGGTTCCTGACCGGTGTGTTGCTGGACAATCCCGGCAACTTTCAGATCACCGCTATGGAGGAGCTGCGGCGACTGGCGGCGGAGAGGGATGTAGTAGCGGCGCGTTTGCAGCTCAGCCTCGGCTCCGACGAAGCTTGCCTTCATAGGTTTGTTGATCTCTCCGTCTCTAATCTTAATTATGCCAATTTGTTACTCAATTACATATGCTTAAAACTATTTAATTGCTTGTGTATGTACTATGTATGTATGTATGCTCTCTGATTTGAGCATTGAATTATTTACCTAATCATATGATGCATATGATAATTAGGTAAAAATTGGATCTCAGTCCTCAGAATGTTTTATTTTTTTATTTTTTGATGCACGCGTTATAGGACGAGGGCCGAGAACTCGTCGAGAAAAACGGCATCGAGAAAAAACCGTGGTAATGTTGGTTTAATCTGCACAAAAGACTCGATTGTCATTGTACTATTTACTGACATAAGAAACCAATGACAGGAGAATTGCGGAGCTAAAACAGAACGAACGCCAAAATGAAGTCGAAGATATTATGTATATGATGATACTGCACAAGTTTTCCGAGATGAGAGTTCATTTGGTTCCGAAGCTATCCAAATGCGTCTACAAAGGCAGGTTCGAGATTTGGCCTTCGAAGGAATGGGAGCTCGAATCTATTCATAGCTTCGAAGTTCTACAAATGGTGAGGGAGCATTTGAGCGCTGTCATCGGATGCAAGGGTAACGCTAACGTCACCGACACTTGGGTCACAACCAAGATACAAAGGCTTCGCCTCTGCCGATTATACGCTGCTTCTATCTTGTACGGATACTTTCTGAAGTCCGCTTCTTTGAGACATTTCCTCGAACGGATCTTAAACACGAGCACTTCCAACTTCAGTATTGGTGGTCAAGGTCAAAGTCAACTTCCGGTTTCGGAGATTTTTTCTGTAGAATCGAATGTCATTGGCTGTGTGGGCCAAATATCGCAGGAGAATTTGGGATTTTACGTGATGGGATTCGACCAGGAGATGATTCAGATGTGTGCAAAACCGAAGTCTATTGAGGCGATGAATCTTATCGAGAGACATAGCTGTGCTCTGTTTGGGGATGAGGTGACAACCGATGATGTTATTACAACCTCGTTTGCCAGTCTGAAGAGGTTTCTGTTGGAAGCTGTTGATTTCGGTTCTTTCTTGTGGGAATCGGAGAATTCTGTGAGTGATGTGTATATGCTCGACGAGAACTGAATTAAATGGGCTCGTTTTCTTTTTTTTTTTTTTCATTTAATTTATAAATAATAGGCGTATACTTTTGTATAGATGAACTATTTCTTGCTTGCATCTAGCAAAATGTGGATATGTGTATAGTGTGTGCATATATACTCTTTTTACATATTAATGTACATATAAGAAGTGATTTGGTAAAGAAAATGTTCTTCTTTAAATATTCTAGGATGTGGGGGTGGCATATATTTTCTTAGGCATGCGATAACCACCCATAATAACGGCATGATCTCGCCAATAAGGTTCGAGCTCGACTGGTTTGAACTGATCCACCTGCAGCCTCTTCACTTGCACATCAAACACAAGCTCGGCAGGTATTGTCGAGTCTATGCTATTTGCCTGGTAAATTAAAAATTTGGAATACGAACAACACATCATCAAGAAGCTCAGCATTTTTTGTGGGTATAAAAAATAAAGGGTAAATTCCACTTTACCCATTGTACTTTAGCTGGATATCACTTTGCAACCCCTCCCAGTTTAAATAATACTTTAGCTGGATATCACTTTGCAACCCCTCCCAGTTTAAATAATTATTAATAAAATAAAATTGTGACTGGGGTCGTGGACTATTTTTCTACGCTGTCTTGATTTTTTTATTTTTTGTTGTTTTTTAATTTTTTATTTTTTCAATTTTTTTTAATAATTATTTAAAGTGGAGGGGCGACATTTTACGCACACACTTCACACACGGAGAGAGAGAGAAGAGGAGAGAGATAGTTAGCTGCTGTCTGCTGATGGTCAGTGGTCCCTTCATTGTTAAATGACCTAAATACCCCCACTGTGCACAAAAGCCAAAAAGCGCCTAGTTAGGCGTACGTTAATTCCAAATGAAATACCCCATGAAAAGAATTGTGTTTTTTTTTTTTGGGAAGTGAAAAATTCATTCCATTTCTCGTTCCAAAAAAATCGGAAAATATGTGGAAATTTGAATGGAAAAACTCATTCGTATTCGGAAATTTTAGGATCGAAATAGGCGGAAATCGAAATATTCCAAATTTTAGTCACTTATAATGTAAAATGTATACTTTTATTCACATTATAAGGATAATGTTCGTAATTATATTCCAAAATTGAAATTTGGATCGGAAATTGGAATCTCAAGTATAATCCAATTTCGATCCAAAAAAATTCAGAAAGAAATCAGAATCAAAATTTTAGAATTTGGAATGAAAAATATTGTTCCAAAATACGAATTGAATTGGCAGAAATCAAAAACTCCGTTCTAATTACCACCCCTACTCATACGGCACAAATCACACATCCACGTGGCTACTCTTTTGTACTGCCAATACTATTCATAAGTTGTATTTCATACTAATTACTACGTATAATTTTGAGATGTTATGTTCCTTATATTAGATCTAGTATTGAAAGTGTTAAATTCCAATATTAAATATGATTTCATAACAACCCTAATTTAACTACAATCATATCATAGTTTATGGTATTTCAGGGATAGTATAGAACAATTAATAACCAATCAGTACAGTCTAATGTACAACTCTGCACATAATACATGAAGTTCCTTTTCAAGAAAGGGAAATAATCCTCTACAACGAAGCAAGTTCCTTACGAAGCACCTTCGCATGTCCATTCATCCCACCCATCGTATACGCTTTAATCATCGTCCGATAAGTAACCTTGTCGGGCACACAACCCCTCCTCTTCATCATCTCGATCACCCCCTTCATCTCCACAAAGCACCCCATCATACCATAAACATCAACCAAGCAATTAAAGAACACAACATCAAGCATAACATCAGAATTATCAACATATCTCAAAACCGCTCCAATTTTCTCGATTCTGCCAGCATTCCCATAAGCTCTCACGAGAGAGCAAAGTGTGACGCAATTCGGCTTTATTCTCTCGGATTGCATAAGACGGAACAAAAACTCCATTTGCTTTAAGTCGCCGCCTCTTCCGAAGGCGTCTATGACTATGTTGTAGGTTATTAGTGTCCAAGAGAAGTGGTATTTTTGCATGTATTGCATGACGGAGCTCATTTTTTCGTAGTTTCCCGTTTTGCCGTAGGAATCGAGGAGTATGTTGAATGTTTTGATTGTGGGTTCGATTCCGGATTTTTGGAACTTGTCGTAGCATTTTTCCATCATTTCGATTTGTCCGCTGCCGCCGAAGGCTCTTATAGTGGAGTTCATTGTCCAAACGTCCGGTTGGCATTCACGTTTTCTTAGCATTTGCACGAGCAGTGATTCCATCTCTGAGAATCTATTAGCAAGAAAAGATGAAAAGGGCATTCAATAAAATGCAAAACCAAAAAAATTGAAATGGAAAAAGAAAAAAAGAAGAAAAAAGAAAAGACGATGGGCGACTCTAGATTTCGTTTTTTTGAACTGAGTATGAGAACTTTGAAAAGTACAAGCTTTCGAGAAATTCTATTGTATACATTAGTTACTTTTCTTCAAATTTTGCCCCTTATTAATCAAAAATTATTTCAACACACTAGTTCTCACAAACAAAAGAAGTAGTCCATAATTAGTGGGAAAGGACATTTTAGTCATGTTATATGTTTTTTCCCATGCTTACTCCCTCTGTTTTTTAAAGTGTCGTTTAAGATATATGCATACTGATTAAGAAAGTTGCTAAAAAAAAGTCCTTACCTGACCAAAGTACCCCTTTGTGCTTTTCATCTTTTCTGTCTCATTTCATTAATATCATTAGTGTCGGGGTAAAGTTGGAAAAACATAACTATGTGGTCCGGATTACGGTATTGAAACAGAGGGAACAACACTCGATTCATACTATTCCCACATTTTCCTCGTAAACAAACCGAAATTAAACAAGAAAAGGGTAAAAAAAAGACTTACTTCTTTGCCTTTCCATATTCATCGATGAGAGTGTTGTACGTGATTGTATTAGGCTTGATTCCCTGCACTTCCATGTCAGCAAGTAGAGACTGCACTTTCTCGAATTCATAAAATTGGAGGCACGACTTTATGAGGATCGAGTACGTGAAGACATCAGGTCGACAGTTTGGAATCTTCTTCATTAGTTCGAGAATCGAAAATGCTTTGTCAAGAAATCCACTTCTGCTGTATGCAGACATAAGAGCAGTGTAAGCCTCACGGTCCACAACACAACCTTCATCTACCATTGCCTGAAACAAGGTGTGAGCTTTCTCGGGTTGTTTGCATTTCCCCAGCATGACAATTAGCTTTATATATATACCATAATTCGGCCTGTACCAAAGTTGCTCTCTAAGGAGTTCAAAAACCTGTCACATTATTGTACAAGTATAAGTGTCGATACATAAAGGCAAGGACAAATTCATGAGGTTAATTCTTGAAATTATCGAACGCCAATGTTCTTTTAAAGTGCTACATATTCCCTTCCATTTTCTCCTCATTGAAATTGATCGGCATTTTCTCCGACTTAACAAACCCGAGCGTCCTCTTTCCGCTCGAATTTTCACACCCATTACGAAATTTTTGTCTATATAAATAAAAAACATACAGAATTACGAATTTCCACAACATTCTTATCAATAAACTTGCAAGAATCACGGAAGCGGACTGGATCGTAAATTAATCATTCATTTCAAAATTCCCAGCATCTTATTTCCCCCCCTTTCGAAATTGCCCTAACTTGCAAGCAAACAATGTTCATTCATCCTTTCTGAATGCTAGTTTCTGCAACTAGTCTCCATTACATCACTCAATTCCTGAATTTGAATATCACTATCAAATTGCAGCAATTACTTCAAAGGAAGCTGCCAAAAAAAAACCCTAATTCTCCTAATTTTCTCTAATGCAAAAAAATTCAACCCTAAGTACTCACCAATTTCGATTCTCACAGTAGAGACTAGTTTCCCCTCAATCACCACACACACACACACACACACACACTAATACAGAAATAGAATTCAACAGACCTTGAGAGCAGATTCCCAGCGCAAAGCGGTGATACGTTCGTGAAGGGCTTCGAGAACAGTTCTCGGCAACAGCTTTTTGGAATCCCCCTTCTTCATTTCGATGACGGCTTTCGTGGCTTCTCTCCTCAGTATAATCGAAATCGCCTTTTTAGAAGCTATTTTTCTGTTTGTGTCCTCTTTTCTCTCTCTAACTTCTCTCTCATTAATTCTCACGAGGTCGGCGGGTCTTCTCTCGGTTACAGTGACCGTGTTTCCGTTGTTGTTGCCATTGCCCGGGCCATGTGATTGTCTTGGGTCGGGTCTCGGGTCGTAACGGGTTTGGGTTTGGGACCGGCGGTTGAATGGGCGGGGGAAGGGGTTAGAAGGTCCGGCGAGGGACGCCATGGTTATGGAGCTCTAGGAGTGGTGTTCGTTTGAGGTGGGACTTGGTAAATTGGAAAAGATGGACACGTGTTGATAAATATTTATTTATTGAATATATAAAATATAATAAAACTATCTATTTATATTTATGTAGGCTTTTTGGTAATAAAATAAAATACATTTTCTTTTTGTTCGATTTTATTCGATCTAGTTACATTAATTCGATTTTATTCGATTTAGTTACATTCTCGGCGTATGTAATCGTAAATACAAAAAATAGTCACTAGAGGTGAAAAACTACAAAAACTAAAAAATAGTTACAATTTTTATTTTTTTTTGCCGAAAATGAAAAACTAATTTCAAGTTCTTCCAAAACAAAATTAGAAAAGTGAAAAACTTAGGAATTGAATGACAAAACTTCATCCGTAAATGAAATTTATCGAATCAAGATTGGGAGACGTTGGGAATTTCATTTTCTTTCATTTGCTTATAATATAAAATACATAATACGGTAGATATTATAAGTTTAATATTCCGAACAACAAAATTGAATTTTCAAAAATTAAATTGATTCCGAAATTAAAATCTTATTATATTCCATTTATAAATAAAAAATATATATTGGGCCCTTTTATTTAAAATTTATTGGGCTTTGACTACAATAGATTTCGGCCACATTCTCTTTAGACTTGATGGCCCCAATTAATTGTAGATATGAACTACCCAGCCTTTTATAGATAAGCTATAGATCCGATAAGCTATAAATAACTCATCAATACTATACTATAGACCAAGTCAAATTATTTTTTATTTTATTTTCTCGGCGTGTCGTACTCGAGTTGTTAGATGAAGATATACGAAAGACTGATATACATTTGCAAGCAACTTGTCAAGGAATTTATGTTAAGTTGAACATTACATTTTGAGAGGGATGGAAAAAAATGTAATTATAAAGTCGAGCTACTGGAGATGAGGTAGGCTCGGAACGGGGAGGGGGAAAGAGAGGGGAAACCACCCCTCCCCGTTTGGAAATGCTCTAATAGAGTTGACAAAGAAAAAAGGGTATTCCTAATTTGAATTAAAAATTCAAAATAAAAGAATAGAATATTAATATTAAAATGTATATTAATCAAGTTTTAAATTGAAAAAAAAGACTAGCAACAAAATCTCTTTGACTCACCTACTACTTAATTTCCTAATCAACTTAAATAAAGACAAAATAGTTCAACCAAATGAATTGTTGTTGTTCTTATCCAACTAATACGTCATATTAAATACTAATGACGTCATAAAGATTCCCAGAAGTAGGTGATTGTGTGAGCATATAAATAACATTATTTTTCTCTTGCCATTTCAATTTTCAAGTAGCAAAATCCCGATTTGTATACTAATTAACCACTGTACACACAATCAGCATGGCTACTACGCCGGCGAGGACAGGCCCAATCAGATCATGCCACGTGGTGGCCATCCCTTACCCCGGGAGGGGCCACGTCAACCCCATGATGAACCTCTGCAAGCTACTCGTCAATTCCCATCCCCACCTCCTCATCACTGTCGTCGTCACAGAGGAGTGGCTCGGCTTCATCGGCGCCGACGAGAAGCCGCCGGAAATACGCTTCGCCACCATCCCCAACGTCCTTCCGTCGGAGCTGGACCGAGCCGCCGATATGCCCAGCTTCGTGGGGGCCACGCAGACTAAGATGGGGGAGCCGTTCGAGCTGCTGCTCGACCGGCTCGACAAGCCGGTTGATTTCATCATCGCCGATACTTTCCTGAACTGGGCGGTCGAGCTCGGGAACCGGAGGAATATTCCGGTGGCGTCGCTGTGGCCGATGCCAGCTTCCGTCTTCTCCATATTTTACCATTTTGACCTCCTCCGCCACAACGGCCATTATCCATTCGATCTAGCTGGTGAGTACACCTTCAAATTGAAATTCACATTTATCAAATTAGGTCAAATCGTTCAAAGGCAAATTAGGAAAACTAATAAATTATGATTTAGTATATTTAATTACACGTTTTTATTTAATTGAAAAATCATTCAGTCTATCAAAATTTTGAATGTGGGACATTTAGTATAGAAGAATTTGTTTTGGATCCAAGATTTTTTAATCAGGACTTTTTGGTATTTTTTCCAATAATGTAGAAAGAGGTGACGAACGTGTGGACTACATTCCCGGAATCGAATCGATTCGCTTGGCCGATATTCCGTCAATCGCGCACATGAAAGACCAATGCCTCCTTAGATTGGTCCTCCGAATTTTCCCAAACGTACCCAAAGCCCAATACCTTCTATTCACTTCAATATACGAGCTGGAATCTCGAGTCATCGAAGCTCTAAAGCAAGAATTCACATTCCCAATGTACACTTTCGGCCCCGCAATACCTTACGCCAATCTCGAAACCGCCACCTCATTCTCAACCACCAATAATCAAAACGATCACTACTTCGAATGGCTAAACTCCCAACCCCCAAGCTCCGTGCTGTACGTTGCATTGGGAAGCTTCCTATCTGTTTCGAGTGCCCAAATGGACGAAATCGCCCTTGGATTGTGCGAGAGCGGAGTCAAGTTCTTATGGGTGGCTCGTGGTGAAGCGAAGAGGTTGCAGGAAAGATGCGGAGAAAATGGAATCGTGGTGACTTGGTGTGAGCAATTGAAAGTTTTGAGCCACCCTTCAATCGGTGGATTCTGGACGCACTGCGGGTGGAATTCGACAATGGAGGCTATCTTTTGTGGTGTGCCGCTTATCGCGTTTCCGTTAGTGATGGATCAAACGACTATTCGTAAGCACGTCGTTGAGGATTGGAAGATCGGGTGGGATGCTAAGAAGGGTGTGGGCCCGGGAGAATTGTTGAAGGGCAGGGAAATCTGCGAGCTTGTTAAAAGGTTTATGGATTTGGAGAGTCTGGAGAGGAAGGAGGTTACTAAAACGGCTAAGGAGTTTCGAGAGAAGACTGTTGCAGCGGTTTCGAATGGGGGTTCGTCGAAGACGAACCTCACTTGTTTTCTCAGTGACATTTTGTCATACATTTGAAGAGCAATGTTTTTTTAAAGCATGTTGTGGAAGAAGCTTCACTTGTGAAGATTAATGTTTTAGTGTTGTCGTTTTTCTTGTTTCTTTTTGTGTAATTTTACTTGGAAACTAATAAAAGATGGTAAATTGGGGCTCATTTGATTGGTTAAAGTAGATATAATTAATTAAATAACTATCTTTTATTTGATGTAATGAGTCTAATAACAATTGATATCCTTAGTTCAAAAAATTAAAATTATATCATCAAATATATCACAAAATTGCATAATATTGTCTGGGTAAATCTTTTCCTTGCACCAAAGTCCCAAATGGCCTCGACAAGATCTTGTGGAAAAGAGAGTGGTCAAGTTAGAGATGCTAATTTTGACTAATTGAGCTCTAGTTGACTTTTAAAGCATGTCCATATTTCTTCACCCTTGAATTTGTGTTTTTTGGATTTTATAGCGGGTCTTTCTTACACCAATATTTTATTATAGGAATAATAAAATACAAATGCGGGCAGGTAAACTTGCACTCTTCTAGAATAATTTGTAAATTCTATGTCAGAGATGTAAATCACACTAATATAATTATGTATGACAAAATCGACCCGAAAACTATTAATAAGGTGATTTATTCAATTTGAAATAAGCAATTCGTCTCCTAATTTGAAAATATTGGATGATACGAGTTAGATAGCCGTTTTTTTTTACTTAACTAGTCCAATTTAATTATATAATTACAAAATTAGTAAAAAGTAATTAGTGATTAAAGTATTTGAAAGAAAAGTCCAAGTAACTTTCTCACTCATCACTCCCCTATAAATTTTCACCCTCCTCAAAAAATAAATCTACCACCACCACCAAATTTCCTCATGGCTCCGCCGGAGAACAAACCAACGCCGCCCCGCCACGTGGTGGCTATGCCGTACCCCGGCCGCGGCCACATCAACCCCATGCTCAACCTCTGCAAAGCTGTGGCCGAAAGAAGCGGCGGCAGCATACACATCACCATCGTCCTCACGGAGGAATGGGTCGGACTCATCGGCGGCATGACCAAGCCGCCGAACATCAGCTTCGCCGCCATACCCAACGTCGTCCCGTCGGAGAGCGTCCGCGCCGACGATGTGAACGGCTTCGCCATGGCCGTTCAGAGCAAGATGGGGGAGCCGTTCGAGCGGCTTCTGGACGAGCTGCATTCCCCGCCGCCGGATTTCATCGTGGCCGACGCCTTCTTGCCCTGGGCCGGCGAGGCGGCCGGGAGGAGGAATATTCCGGTGGCTTACTTGTGGACCATGTCGGCTGCGGTGTACACGATGCTTATCCATTCCCAACTTCTAGCTCAAAACGGCCACTTCCCCGTTGATTTGTCAGGTTATTAATTAAAATTAGTTTAACTAGTTAATTAATCTCTAATTAGGAGGTTTAAGGTGGTGTTTGCAATTGATTATTTAAAAGCAGAAGTTAGTGATTATGAGTTAAATCGGTTTTAAGTGCTTACTACTCAAAGTTGGGGGTGTTTGCAAATATTCCGAAAAATAAACTTAAATAGAAAAAAACAGGGTTAGAGATGCTTTAAAAAAAATAGCTTAAAACAGATTATTTTAAGAGAAGCAAAAACAAAAATTAATTTTGCAAACACGTGAAAACAGATTATGAGCAAAAAAAATTCATAATCACTTTCAAAAAACTTTTGCAAACACCAACCTAAGAGATGTGCTACTTCCACCACCAAATTATCTCAATCTACCATCAAAGATTATAAAATATCATAAATAACCCTCAAATTTATAATCCACCACCCTTCTTTATATTCACTTAATCCTCATATGTTCTACGTTATTTCTATTTTATTATTTTTTTAATTTTTTTAAATTTTTTTTATTATGTTTTTATTAATTTTTACAATGAAATATTTATTACAAGATATTTAAACTTTTATATCAGATGACCATCAGATTATGTAATTTTTTGTTAAAGAAACTAAAATATATTAAGCCAAATCGGCGAAGAAGTTCATGACCTTCCATACAAGCAATCTTAATTTATTTATAAAAAAACGTCAATTCTCGCTCTTTTTGACCTTCGAAAATGTTTTTCTATGATGAAAGTATTATTCACTTAAGCTGGAGAGGGCGAGATTTCCAGTGAAAAATGTGGGATTTTTTTTATAAATATTTTAATTAGTTTAGTGGTAGATGCATGGTTTATAAATTTGTAAAAAATATAGGTGAAGAAGAAGAAAGGGGTAAAATTGGAAATATATTTAATTTAGTGGCGAAATAAGATATTTTGAGGGTGAAAATAGCACATCTCAGTTTAATTAGTGCTAATCTTGTTTTTTTTCTTATGGTGATTCTCAGTTAATGGTGATGGTATAGTAGACTACCTACCAGGCCTCTCTCCAATTCGTGCAGCAGATCTGCCATTAGTCTTGAGAGACAAAGAAATCATCACAATGCTTGACAAAGCTCTCCCCCACCACACCGAATATTCGAAACATCTCGTCTTCAGTTCCATCCACCACCTCGAATCCAAAGTCTTCGAAGCTCTCAATCAAGAATCTCCATTCTCGATCTTCAACATCGGCCCCACAACCTCGTATCAGACACTCAAGAACATCCTCAACAACAATAACCAAACTCCCGACGACGAGACAAACAATGTTAACAGCTACCTTGAATGGTTAAACGACCAGCCACCAAGATCGGTTCTTTACGTCTCGTTAGGCAGCTTCTTGACCGTTTCGAGTGCCCAATTGGACGAAATCGCTAGCGGCCTCTGCGGTAGCGGTGTTAGGTTCTTGTGGGTGGCTCGCCGGGAAACACAGCGGCTGCAGAAGATTTGTGGCGGTGGAGGGGGGAAGGGGGTGGTGGTGGAGTGGTGTGATCAGCTGAGGGTTCTCAGCCACCCTGCTGTTGGCGGTTTCTGGTCGCATTGTGGGTGGAGTTCGACGAAGGAGGCAGTGATGGCGGGGGTGGCGGTGTTGGCTTCTCCGATCATTATGGATCAATTGCCTAATGCCAAGGCTGTTGTTGAGGATTGGAAGATTGGGTGGAGGGTTATCGAGAGGGAGTTCGACGAAGAGAATTTGGTTAAGCGAGACGAAATTTCTGAACTCGTGCAGAGGTTTATGGACTTAGATTGTCCTGAAAGAGCAGAGCTTACTAAAAATGTCGAAAATTTGAAGAAGGCTTGTGAAAGTGAATTCGAGAGTGGGGGTTCTTTCGAGACCAATCTTGATGGATTTGTTGAATTGATCCTGTCTTGAAGCAGTTTGAAATGGTGTCCTAATTTATTATGTTCTTGTTTGTGATTTCGGTGTTCATATTAATGCGAATAAATGATAATAAAGAATCAAGAACCAAAGATTTGGAAATGGTATTGTAAATAGTGAAAAGAAGATTGCATTGCATTGAAAAATCAGATACAAGATACAGGTTTCGGAAGATAGATCTATATACCAAACAATCGATTCTCGAAAGATTATTTGCCACCACGAAAAAATAAAGACAACCTCAAAACTCACAAACCGAAATCTGATATATCAATAGAACAACACCCCTCAATCTAACCTATAATTAAATCATCCACAATTATTTTTTCTTGTTAACTTTATCACCTCCGGCGTTTTTTTTCCCATCAACCACAGCTTGTGCTGCTTTTTTCGCAGTTTTTTCTTGCAGCGCCTTTGCATCCCTACACACACAAACAACATATGAAAAACTGCACACATTGCGTAACAATATTAAACACAAGCATACATTACACATAAGATGGGATAAGAAACCTCTCTCGTCTCTGTTCGGGGGTCAATCCATCGTCTCTTGGATTACGGGGCTTGGTGCCGGATCTGGCTTGAGCCCTTTCTCGGTCACGATCTCTTTGATTACCACGTTAGCTTAGGTCAAGGAAATCAAATCAAATGCTAAAAAGATTATACCTCTGCATTCATTAGCTTCAATTCAAATCAGAAGGAAAGCCAAATTAGGGCTTCCTGTTTCAAAGACTTGATCTTTTTATCTTTTTCTACAGAAAAAAGCAGAAAACTCCAATAACCATAAGCTAAAACTAAAAAAATCAAATAATTTAACCCCAAATTAATTTACAAGCAACGGTCAATTAGAAATCCACAAAAAGGAAAAGGTGATGTAAAATCAGAGAAGAGAAACATATCAGAAGGATATGAGACATTCTCGATTCCTCGAACAGCCAAACAAAGATCTAACAGCGATTAGCTCGCTCTACACAAATGAACCCTGCCCACCACAAACCACCCAACGAATCAATGAGAATTGGATTACGAAAAAAAAATTTAAAAATCTAAAATTTAAACAAAAGCAGCGATCGAACATTCTTCATAGAAAAATTAAAAGCAAGGAAGAAGAAGAAAACCTTGTGAGGCTGTATGGCGTAGATTGGGGAAAAAAGACGGAGGCAGAAGCTAATTGAGCGTCGATTGACGAGAATTGAAAATTTAGGGCTTGGGGCTGACAAAAATTGGGAGAGATTGGGGTTATTTATAGTGATTTCTACGCGTTATGAACCAGTTGTTCCATGTGGATGCAGAAGGATCCAGAAGCCAATAATAACTCTTGGTCAATTTTTATTTTTATTTTATTCTATCTATTATTATTATCTCGTGGTCCCTAACTACAAAATAGGGCAAATTACGGTCAACCCCCTGAGGTATGACGAAATTACGAAAAATCCATCTTGTTTGGGTAATTACAATCATCCCATTCTTTTAAATATTTTTACATAAAATTTATATAATTCAGTTATTTACCGAAGCAAATCGTATATTCAATAGGGTAAATGGTATGAAATTTTGGTTTGGTTTTACCGATTTAACATTCCTAAATTTATCTCTGAAGGGGTTTTTTCGTAAGATAATATATAGTTAATGGGTGGCTGTAATTACCCAAACAAAAGGAGGATTTTCGTAATTTGACCATAACCATTAACAGGGGTGGCCGTAATTTACCCTATAAAATATGAAGTACGATTTGCTTAGGATTCTAAATGCGAACTGAAATATTAAATGTCATTTCAATTTTGTTTTGACTTCCGGTTTTGACCGTAATTTACCTTAAATAAAAAATACATTTTCGTAATTTAACCTTACATTTTGATCTATAATTTTTCTTTTAATATTCGATAAAGTGTAGAAGATGTGGTATCAGATAAATCGTATATCCTTAAATTGAATTAATCTGATTTATAAAAGCAATTTCATCATGTATTTGTAAAATTAAGAAATAATTTAGCAAAATATAATATTTTCTTCATGTCAAAATTCAAAATAAATTGCTATTTTGATAAAATCGGGATAATTGTATAATATCCTACAAAATAACAAATAAACTATAATATAAAAAAAATGATTTTTCATTGACATGTCTATTGGGTAATCGAAATTCGTCTGGGCTTATTGTGTTAAAAAAGGCCTAAAAATATTTAATTATATGGATATTTGGGCTACTGAGCTGAAGCCCAGTTTTCACAGGGCCCAAAGTGCATTACGAATTAATTATTATTTAATATTTATTACACTCGATTTTAAAACAATTCCCGCCATTACGTACATAATTCCATCTATCTCCATTATTTTATTTTATTTTAATAAATAAATAAATAATGGTCATAGGTTTTATTAAATGAGTGGTGGAATATGCCTAAACCTGCCAGCTCAACGATTTCTGTGTGGGTGTTAAGGGTGGTTCAACTTGCAACCAAACAACTCCTAGATGTGCCTCACATTAACAAAAATCCAAAATTACTATAATCTTTTAATATTTAATAATAAATATATTATATATTAATAACTATTTAATATTTGATCAACTACTCCTAAACAAAATTTTAAACTGTCTTAACAATAATGATCATTTTAATTGGTTCATGTAAAATTATAATTATTAATTATTAAAAATAATTATTAATTAAAGAAGAAAGTCAAAGTATGTAACCAATCATAGGCATTAGGCACACAAATTTCACCAAAAGAAAAAGAAAAGACTAAAATATTGAAACTAGAGAGAGAAAGAAAGAGAGAAAGAGAGAGAGAAGAGAAGAGGAAAAGAAAGACCTTTTCAGCTTCATAATTTATATCATAATATATATCTTATCTCTCTACTCACCACTCTGTTCCTTTCCTTTGTTTTTCTTTTTTCTTCAATTATTTTCATTATTTACGAATCTCTGTTCTTCATTTTTGTCTCTCTCTCTCTCTCTCTACTTTCTCTCTCATTTCTTCATTATTGGAAGTGAATCAATTCAACTGCGCATGCAAAAGCTGTTGCCAAATTTCAGATCTGTCTCTGCGTTTCGATATTTCCTCCACGAAAGGTATCTACAGTTTGAGTAGGGTTTATTTTCCTTTTTCATTTGTTCTACTATAAAATTATCTCAGATCTGAGCTTTGGTATTAGCAGTTTTTTAATGGCCGAAATCGTTTTTTTATTAGATGTTGTTCGAATTTCGAGAAATCTTATCACGTTTGCCCATGAATCATGAATGAAGCTTCTCTTCATTTTTTTTTAATATTATCTGAATTTTTCACTCTCTTTTGGCAGAGAATTAATCAATTAAATTAAGTTGTTACCGTACCGGCGAATGGAAATCGTCGGCCGCGGCGGCGGGGAGAATCTGGACTCGCAAAACCTCCGAGATTTTCTCAGAATCAAGGAGGAAGGGAATCAGAGCACCTCCTCCGGTAGCGGCGGAGGTCTAACGTTATTCGCCGTCCTCAGCGACAAAAGACCACCGCCGCCGCTCGACGAACCGATGCAGCGCGTCAACTCGAATCGGACTTTGCTAGACATCATCCGTGAGGACCAAACCTCCGGACTCGGCGTCGGTGGCCGGAAAGACGCCAGAAGGAGCTGGCGGCACTTGAAGGACAAGATCCGCCTCCGCCGCAGGGGAAGCGACGACGTATGGTCCTCCTCCACCGTCCCCATCCCGTCGTCCGACGTTCCCCTCAACAACAACCGCCGCATGCTGATGATGGCTCGCCGTCCCTCAACCCGATTCAACTCAAACCTCGACTCGGCCGAGTCAACCCAGGCGAGTTTGCGCACGAATTACCGGTCCGCGAGCGGTAGATACGAGCACTTGAGTTCATCGCCGAGGAGGCGGTTGATTGTCGAAGAAGAGGAAGAACACGGCGGCGACACCGTGGACGATGCGGCGGTGGTGGGCGGCGATGCGGCGGAGCAGCCGGTGAGAATGTCGTTGATGGCCTTATTGGAGGAGACCGATAGACAAATGGGACTGGAACGGTCGTCGTTCGTAGTGGTTGAGGATGACGACGAGGTGGATGAGGAGGATAGCGGCGGCGGAAGCAGCGCCGCCGCGAACGGCGGCGTAGGGTCCAACAATTGTTGCGTGTGCATGGTGAGACATAAGGGGGCGGCGTTTATCCCCTGCGGGCATACGTTCTGCAGGCTGTGCTCCCGGGAGCTGTGGGTACAAAGAAAGCATTGCCCACTCTGCAATAATTACATCTTGGAAATTCTTGATATCTTCTAATTCATCAATTTTAATTGCCCTGAAAAATCTTTTTCTTAAACAAAATTACTGCGTTTTAATTTTGGTGGGTTTTTAATGGTAAATAAGATATTTTATTATTTAGAAAATTTGAATATTTAAGAAAAAAAAAAAAAAAGAACTCCATTCCCCCTAAGTCTGGGCTTAATATTGGGTCACCGACGCAATTTACTGGACACATTTGAAATCAATTGGGGCTTGGAAAAGTTTTTATTTATTTATTTACTATAAAGTTTAATTGAATGGTATGGCAATGTGGTTTTGCTACAAGGAAATATTATTATCGAAGTTTTGCTTGATATATTTTCTATAATTAAAAGTATACATCAAACGGCAGTTTCATGAAATTGAGTAATTATTAACCATTGATATGCATATACTTACTGCACAGATACATCAATGTTTATGTGTGCTTAGCTTTTTACCATATGAATGGTTAAAGATCACTTGGTGTAGCATCTCAATGAAAATTAACGAGTTGTCACTCGAGCGCCTAGATATGCGACTGGAATCTTGTGACTATGTGAAATCACGACTCATCCAAGACTTGTGAATGGATCAACTAAGTACACACTTCTACTGGTTGTGCACGACTAGCTCCACTTCTAAACGCCGCTCTTGCGCAATTTCCTACAAATTTGACGAGACATATAGATCGTATCGGAGAAACCGTGCACGACTAGCTCGACTTCTAAAATACTGGTACAAGGAGTAAGTACATCACATATTCATATTACTACTATTGCTACACCAACTAACTATTGTGTCTTTTATTGCTAGTGAAGGTGACATCTATCCCTACCATCTATTTGAAAATGTGAATGTAATAAATTATACTTCCTCAAAATATTAAAAGTGAGAGAATGAATATGAGACTTTACATTATTAGTTGAAAACTGAAATTATTAACAAGTGTGTGTGTGTGTGTGTGTGTGTGTGTGTAATGTAATCAATGCAAGTTGGTATTTTTGCACACTTATTAGATGAAATGAAAAAGTGGCTGGCGAAAGTGACTTTGCCTAAACGCATGTAACTAATTGAGGAGAAAAAAACAGCCCCAATGAGACAAATTTATGTCAATAAGTCCGAAAATGTGAATGAATAATTTGCTCATTCATCATAAATTGTTTTTGATATAAATATCTTCTGGGTATCATCAATTATTGCTTCCTTCGACCAATATTGTTATAATTAATTAATCATGATGGTGAACCACCTTACTCATTATTACTCGGTCATAGTTCATATAATTGAATTCAATTTGTAGTTGGTCCTAGGCAATCAAAAAAATATTAAATAAACACGAAATTATAGTCATTTTAGTTAGTTTTTTTAATACAACTTGAATTAAATTAGATTTGATGTCGTAGGACGACACAATTATGCATTAACGAGTTATGCTTTGAACTTTTAGATGAAACAAAACATCAATCTCGACAGTTCAAGTTGTGTTATAGAAAGTTAACTCAAGGAACTAAGAATCATGTGCTTTGAATTTTGCCAAATTCAAACTAAAAAATGATCAAGTGACATGACAATTAATTGAAACGATATTTTTAGAATTGAAATGACACGTACCATTTATGCAGATGTGCATTAAAGACAGTCATGAATTAACATGTACATCACCATATTAAAAGCCTAATTGTAATTTTATAAAATATTTGGTAAGTATATAAATATCTTTATTTAATTTTCCTCTTTTATTTGTTTGGAAAGATCAAGTACTGTTTTTTTTTTTTTTTTTTTTTTTGAAAATGACGTATTATTAATCTATTATAACTATTATTAATATTAAATCTGGACTCGGCCCGTAAGTGTCCATATGGGCCTTATCCAAAACCCAGATTATTGGGCCATATCAACTTGGGCTGACCCGGCCGATACAAGTAATCGGGTCAATAGGGCCCGGATTCCCGATTGAAATCAGTTTCCTAACCCGGCCGAGCTTTGAATCGAAGCTCCCATGGCGGAAACTAGTGTTTCCACTAAATCCACAGTCAAATCAGCAATTATATAGCCGGAGACTGCGCAAAATCAACAACGGTACCGATCAAATGAGCCGCTTAAAATTCAGTTTTCTGTTGTTCTTAATACTTTTATGGGGCTCTGAATCAACAGCGGAAGAGGAGAAAGAAGCGAACGAAGAGTTCACGGAGGCGTTGCTGTTGAGACCACTGCCCGATCGGAAAGTATTGGCTCATTTCCACTTCCAGAGCAGCGCGCCGCCGACTCAAACCTATGGCCGCCACCATTACATCTTCCCCAAATCCATTTATCAGCTGGTAAAACATTTAGTTTAATCAAGTAATTGTTGGTGGATTGTTTTTTGAAGTTCATTGCGCTGTTTCTATTATTTTCAATTTTCTGATCGAATTGCTTTTGTGTGTGCTCGAATGTCTGATTTCAAAAATTTCATGTAACGATGAACTATTTTAGTTGGCTTAATGAACATTTGATTCAAAGATAATCTGGAATTTTAACCTAGTTTTTTTGCTGCACAATCAGGTTCACAAGTTCCATATTCGGGAGATGGAGCTATCTTTCACACAAGGCCGCTGGAATTACGAGCGTTGGGGAGGGTTCGACCCGATTTCAAGCAGCAACGCAAAGCCTCCCGGAGTAGAATTATGGGCTGATTTCGATGTTCCTCAAAACCAGGTTGACGATTCGTGGAAGAATCTAACTCATGCTCTTTCGGGGCTCTTTTGTGCATCAATCAATTTCTTGGAGCATTCAACTAGTTACTCCGCCACTCAATGGAGTTTTCAGTCATCGTCTTCAGGCAAACTGCGCTACGGGACATTGCCTCGTGAAGCAGTTTGCACTGAGAATCTGACGCCCTGGTTGAAGCTGCTTCCTTGCAGAGATAAAGCAGGGCTTTCTTCACTGATGGACCGACCTTCAATATACAGGGGTTATTATCATTCGCAGAGGCTGCATTTGAAATCAGACGAGTTTGATACATCCAAGATTAGTAGTTCCGGGATAGTGCTTGAACAAACCCTTACTGTTGTTCTTCAACCGAACACTTTTTCCGGAAAAAAATTACAACCGAGTTGGTCGTTGAGTTCGTTATTTGGCAGGAAAGTCACCGGGAAATGCTCTCTTTCTAATTCAAGTAATGTGTATGTCCAATTTCAGCAGAATTTAGTATCTGAGGAGAACGAATCGAGGGAAAAAAGCGAAGCGCAAAAGAATGAGATTCTTATTCATGAGGGCTCTCACAATAACCCTCTATTCGCATTATCGCATCCCCCAAAAAGGGTTATCAAAGAAGTGGAGAACTTTCAGAAAGAGGGATCGATCCTCTATGAATATTCCGTTGAAGATTACGATGAATACGGACCGTTTGAGTTGGGATTAAGGTGGAAGGTGCCTGTAATATGGTCATGTCAGCAGGCCCCATTACATGCTAGCCGATTTTTACTAGGAAGCGGAAACGAGAGAGGTGCGATTGCCATTTCGATGAAATCTACTAGGAGCAACGATATAGAGATAGCTGGTCTTGATGATGAGAAAGCATGTTCATTGAGAGTTGGCATTTTCCAAGTTGTGCCTTGGTATGTGAAGGTCTACTATCATACGTTGGAAGTGTTTTTGGATGGAGAATCTCAAGCCACCATGGATAACATAGAGAAAATACACGTTTCACCTTCTGAAGATAAGGTCTCTCCTGGAGTGATGGAGATCGTCTTGAGATTACCATGTAGCGTTAAAACAGCTGCATTGACTTTGGAGTTTGATAAGGTATGCTCCTTCTATATGCAGTTATTATCTTTAGCTATAAAATCAAATTAGACTTGCGTTTTCTATCCATGGAAATTGTTAGTATTATTCTACCTTAATGCGGTAATTTTTACCTTCTATGACGTAATTTACCTAGTGCAGCTAACTGACGGAATTATTGAAGCAATGCAGTATGAATATGTAGTCTGTAATTCACCTCACTTGTGTGTTTTTACTGCTAAGTTTACGTGCTCGTAACTAATTTCAGCTATTGGACATAGAAATTGTGAGAACTTGTTCCCTAAATGTTGAGTTTAAATAATTCGTTTTTCAAATGATACAAGCATTTTTATCCGCCAACTATTTTTTCCTCATCCCGAAAAGGCTTTTGCTACCCTCAAGAACTGAAAGCACACTGATCCGTAGTAATCGTGGCAAAGTGAACTATAAATGCATAATCTTATCTCTAAATATTTTTCTGGATTGCTGGGCAAGTGATCTTCAAATTGCATTTCATATCGTTCGGACTTATTAAATATTGCGCGTATAGTGTATGTATATCTAATTTTGCTTAAGTTCGGATTTAGTTTCTTTCAGCACTCTTTTCGTGAAATCTTTGAAATTGTTTTTGTAATATTCAGCTGTATACATTTAGCACTTAAATATATATTTTTTTATGCTGCTTCGACAGGGGTTTCTTCATATCGATGAATATCCTCCAGATGCTAATCAGGGATTCGACATTCCATCAGCAGTCGTACACTTTGCTGACTTCGTAGCAAACATGAGTTTCGAAGATAATCTCTCAAAAGAAATTCCCATATTGTCCAAGCTACAGGTATCGAAACGAGTATCCCGCATATCAGGATATATTTTGTTTGTGTTTGTTCAGTTCTCTTCATTGTCTAAACCATTTGCATTTCTTTCTCTCTAGGAAAAAATCCCAGTTCGCTCATACACGGAAGTACTACTCGTACCGTTGACAACACCCGATTTTAGCATGCCTTACAATGTAATAACAATGACATGCACTATTTTTGCTTTATACTTTGGATCACTGCTCAATGCACTACGAAGACGCCGCGGGGAGGAAGAAAGGCTTCTAAAGGGAAAAGGTGAGATACTTCCGTTGTTTCAAATTTTGTTCTCTCTCTGCCCTTTTTGCCCTTGTTGTTTTTTATGTCTGGAAATCTTGTTCGTGCAGGTGCAGAGAAAGGCCCGTTGAGCCTATTGCTATCAAGATTGTCAGCTAAATTGAGAGGAAAACAATGGGAACCACCAAAACCATCATCTTCTTCTTCTAAAAAATCATCCGTAAATTATAAGCTCGTTGCAAAGGTCGTTTTAGTAGCTGGCATTGCTATTGTTTGGCAGTTTTATTATCAATGAGCCACCAAAGAGACCATTTTCCCATGTATGATTATGTATCCTTCAGAATAGTGATTACCTAGGATTAATTAGCTTCTGAATATATATATATGCTTCGTGCTTTGTTTCTTCAGGTATATGTATCATTGAATTACTGATTTTTGCCATATATAAACAGCTGAGTATTCCACAGACAGAGAGAGAGAGAGAGAGAGAGAGATCTAACATATTGCTTTATCTTAATTTCTTTACAGGGGAAGAAACAACCACCTCATCATCACACCTCATTCTTTTCATGTTCTTGCAGTTAAAACTGCACGAATATTGACCGTTTCTCGAGGTACTAACCTCTCTACTACCGAGACCTGAAACGGAAAAAGAAAAAAAAAACGAAAAACCATAAGTGAAAAATTCCTCTAGAATCAACAACATTCTTTAATTATGTCGCAGCTTTACCTAAATCAGCTTCGTCGTATTTTGGTCGCTTAAGCCGACTCTCATCTTCTAACCGCCACTTCCTCTTCAAATCCAAGTCGCTGGAATTGTTACGGCCTGGTGTTCGATTGTGTCAGATCCAAAACACAGCAGAAAAATCCGAAAGACGAATAATGAATTACCTGAACTATTATAACTCCACTTGATGTCTTTGTTCTTGAGGTGTGGCCTCTTCTTCTCTCCACCGTAACTTTGTTCTTCGGTGCTCGAAATCGTAAATCCAGCATCTTCTAGCTCCGACGATCCTGTCGAGTACTTATTAAACGAGAAAAAAATAAAAATAAAAAATGCTCCAAAATATATTGAAATATGATCAAAGACAAGAATAAAAAAAATTAAATGCCACAATATAACACTACAAACATAATAAAGAAAATTCAAGAGACATTATCCAATAACTGATACCCAAATAACAATGAAATTAAATTAAACTGCATAAAAAAAAAAAAAAAAAATAATAATAATAATAATAATAAAAAAAAATCATACTTTTGGAGCCGATTTTGGAAAACTTGCCGTCGACAAGGAGAGCGTCGGAATCGGTGGCGCCGGTGGGCAACCCGCGGGCAGAGAAGAAGCCAATCAGCGACTTCCACGTGACAGTAGAAGCTATGAAATCCGGGCCTCTGCTTATGAAGTGACCGTTGAGCATCAGAGTATTCGGGTCGAGCCCGAATAACCGAGATATCGACCCGAGGTCCAGCTTCTGGTTATCACATGCACTTATTTGAACTATCTTGCGCAGAGATGCGCACCATAGCTTTATCATTCTTCTCTTCCCCTTTTCTCCTTCTCCTTCCATTGCTAACTTCTTTGTCAGAGTGACAGTAAAAACGGTGTCGTTTTGGGATTAATCCTTGCGTATTTATTTCTGCGGAGAGTTATTCTGGTGTTGGGTTTTTGAATTTCTAATGGATTCCAGAAGTATCTAATTATTTATTATTTTTTAATAATAAATTAAAATATATAAACTTTATGAGTAATAAAAAAGAAAAAAAATAATATTAATGACAAAAGATAAATATTTTTCTAAAATTAATTAATTTATTATTGAGGAAAAATGACAATTAATTTGAAAACGAAAATAAAGTCGATGGAATTAACTAAGGTATTTAAAGGTCAGGCATTCAAATTAGGGCAACTGGCAAAAAGGCCCATCACATGGGACTTAAATGCATTTTAGTCCACAAAAAAAACAGTCTATCAATTAAGCCCATCCCCATGTCTTTAGTCTAAAATACCCTCAATAATATAATTCTTAACAATTCCACCCATTATGCTCTAACTTCCTTAATATTACATATTGACCCCGGATTTAAACAAATATATCACATAACCCCCAAAACTTTTTTTTTTCAGAAAATAATTTTTTTTTTGAACTGTTTTTTTTCCGGCCAGATTCCGGCGTTGACTTTTTTTTTTTTTTTTTTTTTTTGTTTTTTTTTTGGAATTGTTTTTTCTTAGAAAAAAAATATTTTAATTAATATTACTGTCTTGACTACTAAATTACTGTCTCAAACAGTAATATTACTGTTTGGGACAGTAATATTATGAATATTATTTATCCGAACAGTAATATTATTAATATTATTGTCTAAGACAGTTAAATTACTGTTGGAGACAGTAATTTAACATCCAAGACAGTAATATTAGATAAAATAATTTTTTTTTAAGGGAAAAAAAAAAAAGTCAATTAACAGTTAAGTTACTGTCTCCGACAGTTAAATAACTGCTGGAGACAGTAATTTAGCAACGAATACAGTAATATTAATTAAAAATATTTTTTTTAAGAATAAAAAAGTCAATTAACAGTTAAGTTACTGTCTCCGACAGTTAAATAACTGCTGGAGACAGTAATTTAGCAACGAATACAGTAATATTAATTAAAAATATTTTTTTTAAGAATAAAAAAGTCAATTAACAGTTAAATTACTGTCTCCGACAGTTAAATAACTGCTGGAGACAGTAATTTAGCAACGAATACAGTAATATTAATTAAAAATATTTTTTTAAAGAATAAAAAAGTCAATTAACAGTTAAATTACTGTCTCCGACAGTTAAATAGCTGCCGGAGACAGTAATTTAGCAGCCAAGACAGTATAATTAATTAAAATATTTTTTTTAAGAAAAAAAAAAAAAAAAAAAAAGTCAACGCCGGAGACCCGGCGGTCAACGGCCGTTGACCGGCCGGAAATTTTTTCAGGAAAACAAAATCTCAAAAAAAAAAA